GCAAGTGCTCTGCAACTGAGCCCCAGCCCCAGCCCCGGCCAGGTACTCATTTTAAGGAGAGTTATCCCACTCATTCTTCAGGTCTCAGCCTGGGTGCCACTTCTTCCAGGAAGCCCTCCCTGACTCTTTTAGTCCTGGACCTTGTTTAGGACCCCATTTGGCCTCCTGATGATGTCTTCCAGCTCCAACCTGGCCTCTGCCACCTGGGTCCTCATTTCAGTCATCTCCCTCTGCTCCCAGCTTTTACTAGACCTTCCAATCCTGCCTCTATCTGAGTTTTTTAAAATATTTTTTTAGTTGTCAATGGACTTTTTTGTTTATTTATGTGCAGTGCTAAGAATCGAACCCAGTGCCTCACACAGGCTAGGCAAGCGCTCTACCACTGAGCCACAACCCCAGCCCCCTCATCTGAATTTGACTTGTCCATCCCAGCTCAAACACTCTCTATGGCTCCCCAGTGTCTCAGAACAAAGTCCTGGCTCCTTATTGTGCTCCCGGGGCCTGGGATGATCTTTCCCTGGCTATTCTTTGGTTCATTTTCTCACCGCAGTCAGGCTGAATATCTTTCAGTTCCTGGAACCAAAACCACACGTGCATCACTGATCCTACAACGCTGCTTCTCCTGCTGAGCGCACCTTTTCCTCCTCTCCATGCTGCGCATCCCTTTCCACCCACAAACCGCCTCCTCCACGAAGCTTTTCTTATCCCCCATGGCTGAATTAGGTATCCCCTCTGGGTCCCCCAGTCCCCAGTCCCTCTCCATCCCATCCCTGACACTCTGCTGGTCTGACCCTGACCCTGACCTCTCTGGGCTATCACTACTTGGTGACATGACTGTCTATTCCACTGGGCTAATGAGTCATAAGAGGCAGGGCCAGGCCGTCTCCATGACCACGGTGTCCCCAGCACCAGTGAGCACAGGAACAACACATACCATGTTCAGAGACCAGCTCATTCATCTATTTGGCCAAGCCCTGCTCTAAAAAGTGGGGATACAAGCCATATAAGCTGGGCACGGTGGTGTATGCCTGTAATCTCAGCAGCTTGGGAGGCTGAGGCAGGAGGATTGCAAGTTTAAAACCAGCCTCAGCAATTTAGCAAGACCCTGTCTCTAAGGGCTGGGGATGGGGCTCAGTGGTTGAATGCCCCTGGTTCAATCCCCAGCACCCCCACCCCGCAAATAAAGTGGGTGGGTGAGGGATACAGTGCAAAATAGGGAAAAAAAATCCTTCTAGCCAGGCATGGTAGGCCTGTATCCACCTGTAATCCCAGCAACTCAAGCGGAGGAGGCAGGAGGATTATAAATTTGAGGCCGAATAGGGCAATTTAATGAGACTCTGTCTCAAAATAAAAGTGCTGGGGATGTAGCACCCCTGGGCCCAATCCCTAGTACTGGGGAAAGAAAAGGAGAGCGGAGGGGAAGGAAGGGGAGGGCCGGGACCCTTCTAATAATGAAATTCTCCTTTTTGGCAAGTAAGAATAAATGAGTAACATATGGTACATGCCTTAGAGAAAAATAAATCAGGGGACAGTGGCATCACAACTGGAAATGAGTAATGTTCTAGTTCAAAAAATAACTCAGGCCAAGTCTGGGGCGAGGAATATTATCACCATCCCTGTTTTTCAGATGGGTGTCAGGGTTCAGGGAAGCCACCTGCTCGGGTGGCACAGTATGGGTTGCTCAGCTGGGAATTTGAATCCAGAACTCAGTTCTGTTTCAGAACCATACACTGTTGAACCAATTCATGAGCAAATAAAATACAGCAGATCTCCTGTCATGGCCTCCTGCAAGGGACCAAGTACCACGAGGGAGGTGTGAGCCTATGGAGGTGCAGGATGTGGGGGAGAGGGTAGGCTCCCATGTTAGGACCTGCTCTGCTCAGAGGACTTTCTATACTTAATTTTCATGACAGTCTTTTTTAAAATCCCATTTAACAGACAAGGGAGCTAAAGGCTGACGTGTTCCATGGTTGGCACAGCCAGGAAATGGGGAGCCAGGATTTGAACACAGGCTGTCTCAGGGATCCAGGGACAGCGGCCCCGTGACAACCCCCTTTCCTTTTGTTTATAATCTGTAAATTCCTGCTACCCACCCATCTACCCTCCCCAATACCAGCTGAATACTACAGTGGTGTTTTTAGCCTCTCAAAACCCCACCAGCACCCCATCCCTCTCCAAAAATCTGAAGGGGGTATCAGAAGCTTTGTCCAAAGATAAAGGATATCTGAGTACAGCGTGAAGAGGACTCTCTTTCCAACAAGGCTGTCTCTTGCCAATCCATCCTGAGTAGGAGTTCTGGAGCTGCTGGTGCTCAGGGTGATAGCTTCATGTCACTTTGGATTGTGTCCTTCCTCTGCTCCAAATCCTCCTGTGGCTCCCACCTCGCTCAGAATAAAAGTCAGTCTTCTTTGTCGCTAATGAGGCCTCAAACAATCTTCCTGCGTCTCCTACACTTCTTCCTCTCACTGGGCTTCTGCTATTCCTTAAATACTCTTAAGTACTTTCCTACCTCAAGGCCTTTGCATTTTGTGTTCTCTCTGCAGAATGCCCTTCCCCCAGAGAGTCATGCCACTCTCTCCTCTCCTGAAAGTTTTTGTTAAAATGTCACTTTCTCAGAAAACCTTCACAGACTGATTTATTTATTTTGGTCCTGGGGATTGAACTCAGGGGCGCTTAATACTGAGCTACATCCCCAGCCCTTTTAATAGTTTATTTACAGACAGGATCTTGTTAAGTTGCTTAGGGCCTTGTTAAGTTGCTGAGGTTGGCTTTGAACTTGCAATCCTCCTGCCACAGCCTCCTGAGCTGCTAGGATTATAGACATGCATCACAGCCCCCAGCTATAAGACCATCCTATTTAAAACCACAGGTTAGCCAGGCATGGTGATACATGCCTGTAATTCCAGCCACTCAGGAGGCTGAGGCAGGAGGACTGCAAATTGGAGGCTAACCTCAGCAACTAAATAAGACCCTGTTTTAAATAAATAAATAAATAAAGGGGTTGGGATGTAGTTCAGCGCTAGAGTGCCCCCTGGGTGTGATCCCTAGTACTGTCAAAACAAAGAATCCAACGAACAAACAAAAAACCAAACACATACACACACTCAGCAAAAACAAACATCACGGCAAGGTGTATAGCTCAGTGGTAGAGCACTTGCCTAGTATGTGCAAGGCCCTGGGCTCCATCCCCAGCATTACAAAATAAACACATACATACATACTACAACTTTGACTGTGTATTCTGCACCCCTCTTCTAACAAATCAAATAATCTACTTACCTACTTACAGTGTTCACTTATTGTCTCTTACCCGTACTAGAATGTAAACCCCATTAAGGCTAGGGACTTTTCTGCTTTGTTCACTGACTTGTCCCCAATGCTCAGCACTGTGTTGAACACACATGCTTAAGAAATATGTGTTGAATGACTAACTTGTGTTTTCATTCCTATATTGTACATGCCACATGCCCAAGGTCATGCAGCTCTTTAAGTACTAAGTGCTTAGTCAAACTAGGGTGTTCTAGCCCCCAAGGCTCACATCACTAACCACTGTACTATACTGCCTAAGATGGGCTGAATGAATAGGACTCAGGACTGTTGAATCTGGGACTAAGACCCAGGAGACCTGGGTCTAAAATAACTGTAGTTTCCCTTGCAGAACCCTACTTACTCCCACAGTTCTAGCTGAATGCTGTCATTTTGGGGGTGGGGTCACTCCATACACCAGGATAAAGAGATAGGGATTAAGAATTTACAGAAGTAAGGTTCATGTGTGGTAATTGTGGCAGAGGTGAAGGCAATATGAAGATCGTGGGGTGGGGTGGCTGCCGTGGTAGGGCCTGTCACAGCAATGAGGGAGGTCACCACAGGAATGAGTGCAGCTGGGAAGGGGGAGGGGTGGATCATGAGAAGGTGAAGAAGGTGACTGGATGAGAATGACATGGTTAATAACAATATGATCCCAAAGGCCGTGACAGGTTGACCATGCCATAAAACATGGATTTGCAGATTCTTGACGCTCATCCTTGACACGCATGTCCTTGTGTGTATTTTACAGATGAGGAAAAGGGGATTGGAGAGGAGCGATAAGCTGGTCCACGGTTCCGGGCGTTTAGAGGTGGAGCCGGGACACTGACACATCCCAAATAATGGACTCTCCTACTCCATATGGTGGGAATATGGAAAGGGTGTCGAAAATGAGGGAAGAGAAACAACTGTACGGCCGGTTGGCTCTTTATGGAGAAAACAAGGAGCATGAGGCACAGATGGAGACTGTCAGAGGAGCAATGGTGGCAGAGGAGAAAGGAAGACATAAGGGGTGGTAAACGTCGTAAGGAAAGCGTGGTAAACGTCGACATAGTGACGGGGGAGGGGTGCGAAGGTGGGGTCTGATGACGATTTAGAAGTGAGGATTTCATGAAGGTGAAACGGCAAAAAAGAGGGATGCAGTCGACGTAAGGCAATGACGACTTACAGAGGGCAATGAGGACTTAAGGGAAAGGAAAAAGAATCAAAGGGATTGGTGGTTGCAGAAAGAGGGTGATGTCAACACAAGGGGAGTGGTGACGACTTAAGTGGGATACAGCATGAGAAGAAATGGGTGACATGAACATGGATGGCATAGAGGAGGGATGCATTATAGACAAGAGGATAACACAAGGAGGGCAGCGGGGCGCCGTGCCCCGGATCGCACAGTACCTGCACTCCTTGCCTTCCACTTCGGGACCCCACACGCACCTTCTAGACTGGAGCCCCGCCTTCCTGCCCCACCTGAGCGCAGGCTCGCTCCGGCTGGACGGCGGGCACGCGGGGGCCAGGCCTGCGCCCTTCTCATTGGCTGAGCTCCTACCTAGCGTCGGGTGAAGGAAAGCGCCAGGGAGCCTGGGCACGTTCACGTGACCACCCGCCGCACTCTCGATGGTAGCGGCCCGGCGGGCTAGAGCGGTCGCGAGCGGTCAGTCAGGCTTCCGGTGTTGAGGACAGGCTTCCGGTGTTGAGGGCGGGCTTCCGGGGCGGGCGATCCGGGACCAAGGAGGAGTGTCTGACAGTTGGCGCCGCCGGGAGGGTGGGCCGGCTGCGCGAATGGGCGCAGGGCCGGTGGGCCAGGTGAGGCGAGGGTGGGCGGGGGGGGGGGGGCCTGGGCCGGATGCGGTGGGATAGGAGGGAGTACCGGGCTCCACTGGGAGACCCCGAGTGATTTCTTTCTTTTTAGCCTCTGTTTCCTTCTCTGTAGGATGGGGGTCCGAATAGAACTCTAGCACCCACTTCAGGGGTCGAATGCGAAATGAGGGCTTGCAGGTCACAGCCGCTGCTCAGAGCTTGTACCTAGTGCTCCCTGCCTTTCTATACCACTGTTAGCATTGGTGATGTTTGCGTTGGGCGTAAGAGATTGTTGGACTTGGAAACCTACTGACTTGGGTTCCAGTCCCAGATCCACTGTGTGGCAGTGGGCCCTTGCCTTCACCTCCCTGAAGCGCAGTTTCCTGCGCTGACAGTCTCAATATCATATGGTCATTTTGCAGATTGTGATGAGACGTGTATGTTAAGCATTTAGCATAGCAAGAGCTCAGTAGATTGGGACTATAATGATAATGATTCAGAGAGTCATTGGTGTATCTGGGAATTCCAATAAAAAGGAGGAAGGAATCTCAGAGACAGCAGTAGGAAAAACAGAACTGCATCTGGGAAAATCGACATTCTGCCACTTATTATTTGGCCAGTTTTGTCCAGTCTTGTAGTATAGATTTTTATTTTTCTTGAAAATGACTGGTGCATGTTCCTTTGTCATTCATTTGAGAAGGAATTCACATTTCTGTTCTAATGGAAACCTAACATTGCTTGCCATGAGAAAGGAAAAAAAAATCTGAAATACGATGAAAACAAAACAGCCCATTATACTGTAGACAGTGAATGAAATATAATTGAAAAGAGGATAATTTATGTTCTATGAGTCCATGTTGTCAAATCCCATTGACTCCATCAAATTGTTTTTGTTTTTGTTTTTTGGTAGTAATAGGGATTGGACCCAAGGCTCTCCCATGGTAGGCAAATGTTCTACCACTGAGCTATGTGCCAGCTCTTTTACAATTTTTTATGTTGAGACAGGGTCTCGAAAAGCTGCCCAGGCTGGCCTTGAACTTGCAATTCTTCTGCCTCAGCCTCTGGTCAAAAGTCTTGGCATGCAGCTGATGTGTCCCATCCTGAACCTAGCTTACTGAAGATTTATTTTATTTAAGGCACACTTACCACTTGCTGAGTATTGTTCCAAGAGCTTTGAGTTTATTGGCTCATTTAACCCCTCTAACACCTTTAGCAATAGATACTCTTTCTTATTGTACAGTTGAGAAAAATGAGTTCCAGAAAGATTTAGCTACTTGCCCAGGATTAGGAAGAGGTAAAATTGGGATATGTATCCAAATCTAAGAGCTTAGCACATGGAATCTGGTACATGTTATTTAATTGAGTTTTGGGAACTGCCATGTAAAAAATTTCTATTTTGTTAAATTTCAACTCTGAAGAATGCACTGGAAGTGGCTTTTAAGGTGGTAGAGAAAGGTAATTGGGTCCAAGAGGGAATTCCACAGCAATGGGGAAGAATACCAATACTTAAAGGATTCAGATAAGTATTAGCTAAGATCTTGCAAGGACAGACTCATAGTAATACCTTGTTTGGCTAGTAATACCTTTTTTGGCATTAACCACAGTTTGAATTCAATTCCTGGCCCTGCTGTGTGTTGTTGTGTGAACCTTAAACCTACCTCTCTCATGTTAAATTTTTTGACTTTTTTGCTCATTTTTACTTTTTTCCCAGGCTGGCTGTGAGAAGTCACTGACTGCATACTCAATTCCTGGCATGTAGGAAGCACTCACAAGGACTTACTCCATGGGCATCGGAATCAAGGAGAACTTGTTTTTGAATCTCAGTAAGGTCAGTTGCTAGATGTGACATTTGACAAATGACTGCTCCTTATGAGTCAGTTTTTTGATTGATTAAAATAGAGCTAATAATAGTCTTTGCTCATGAGGCTATTGCGAGGCAATCAGTATGATGCTTAACTTTGGTCCTGATGCTGTTAGTGCTGGTTTGTGAGTTGCTGACATCTTACAGACATCTTTCCATGCCCTGCTCTTTTTTTTTTATTTTAATTTATTTTTATTTTTTAGTTATCAGTGGACCTTTATTTATTTTTATTTATTTATATGTGATGCTGAGAATCAAACCCAGTGCCTCAAACATGCTAGGCAAATGCTCTATCACTGAGCCACAACCTCAGCCCCATGCCCTGCTCTTTGAGGGATGCATATTGTATTATCTTTGTCCCATGGTAAAATCTAGAAGGGAAAGTGAATATGAGTGTCAGGTGCAGGGCAAAATGATGTCTGGTCATGTTCGTCAATCATGGAATCAGCAGAAGCCAGAAAAGGCCAGGGAAGAGGAGAGAGTCTCACATGTGGGAACTGAGGGAAAGCATCACAAAGTGGGGGACAGCCAACAGAGGGAAGAAGAGCTTGCCAGGAGGATGATGGGAGATAGGTATTATAGGCTCATGTGACATCCTGTGTAGAAACTAGGAGGCAAGCTGGGTTCAGAGGCACATGCCTGTAGTCCCAGCTACTCAGGGAGGGTAAGGCAGGAGAATCACTTGAGCCCAGGTGTTCAAGACCAGCCTGGGCAACGTAGTGAGACCCCCAACTCAAAATTAAACAAAACAAAACTGAGACACAGGTAAAGCACCTGATGGAGAGGAAGGCTGACTGCGAGACCAGGGGATGAGGCTAGGAGGAGCCCTTCCCAGTCCACTTAGTATACACCAAGCCTAGTCTCAGCTCCCTCCCAGGCCTTGGTACATAGCCCACTTTGCCCTCACAGCAGTCCTCTAGAGTAAGTAACATCCAGCCACACCAGTGCACAGATGGGGATCCTGAGACTGGACTGCAGAAGTAACTTCTCAAGGCCACACAGCTAGTAAGTGGTACAGCTGGATTTGAACCCCTTGCAGTCTAGTTCAAGTCTTTACTCTTTTTTTTTCCCCCTTTTCTTCTTCTTCTTTTTTTTTTTTTTTGGTACCAGTGAGGTACATCCCCAGCCGTTTTTATTTTTTATTTTGAGACAGAGTCTCCATAAGTTGCTGAGGCTTGTGATCCTTCTGCCTCCCCTCCCAAGTTGCTGAGGTTGCGGGTGTGCCGCGCCACCATGCCTGGCTCCAGAGTCCTTACTCTTGACCACTCTGTTATACCCTCAGAATGGAGAGATGAGGGAGAAGCATCAGTGTTGGAACTGGGCCTGGTTGAAGAGGGCAGAGTCAATGGAGAGGGCAGAGGAGATGGAAGAGAGGAAGTAAGTTTGGCCCAAGACAGTGTGGCCAGGTGGTCCTGGAGGCAGGTAGCACATGAGAAAGTCATTTCCTTTAGTTATTTTTCTACACTGCCATTCATGCCTGGAAAGTTTCCATTGGTGCTGATGTGTCTATAATGCCTTTCAGCATCTGCTGGTCTTATCCAAGTGAAAATTGGCTTTCCATTTCCTCTCTGGCCCCCCCACCTCTCTGACTAGGCTCCTGCTATCCTGGCTCGCTCCACTGCAGCCACACTGGCTCCTCATCCTTCAGACCTGCCAGCAGAGCCCCTGTCTTAGGGCACCGGACTCACTGGACCTTCTCTGTAAAACTACACAGCTTGGGCTGGGGTTGTGGCTCAGAGGTAGGGTGCTCGCCTAGCATGCATGAGGCACTGGGTTCGATCCTCAGCACCACATAAAAATAAATAAAGAAATTGTATCCATCTATAACTAAAAAACAAATATGAAAAACAACAACAACAACAACAAAAAACACAGCTTCCTCCCTCCCCTCCTTCAGGTCTCTGTGTCACTTTAGGTCTTCTCTGATTATCCAATTGAAGATTGCGACCGTCCCCTCCCAGGCCCTACATGTTTTCTCCATAACACTGGTAGCTTCCAACACTCTGCACTGTGAGCTGTTTTGCTTGTTGACTCTCGTCTCACTCCCCTGTCTCTGCACATGCTAGGCTCCATATTTTGTTCATCTCAGTATTCTAAGTGCTTCACACGGAGTACATTCGCAGTAAACAACGTGTAAATGGGTGAGTGAACAGCATTTATGAAGAAGATTTTTGGGGCAGGAAGTGTCTTTTTCTGTCCCTGTTCTAATCAGACCTTTGAGGTGTGTGGGATCGGAGCTGTGGACATTTGTTTTCCCTGTGACTTGTCCCAGGCACAAGTGATAGTTGTGGCAGCTCTGTCTGAGCTGACGGTCCGCCAGTTGCTCTAGGCTATTCCTGGACTGTGAGCCCCTAGCCCAGGAATTCTCCTCTGGCAGGCAGGCAGGCAGGCAGGCCGGCCGGCAGGCACTGGGAGAGGGACGTGTGCTCACATGGTGGCGATTCATGGGCCTTCTTTTATTCTCTGTTCCAGGCTCCAGGGAGCAGTATCTGGCCCAGCAAGACGATGGTCTCAGTGACTATGGGTGAGTCTGTCTTTCTCTGGATGGCCCCCTCTCCCCACTGCCCTTTCTGAGGTATGGCTGGGAGGGGGAGGGAGGGAAGGAAACTGGCAGGAACAGCTGTACTCTGACGAAGGTGGGGGGCAGGGCTGGGGCCAGTTCAAGGCTGCCTGCCCCTTCTGTGTATCTGGATCTACTGACTGCATAGTTTAGCCATAAAGAACTTGCAGTATGACGTCTGACAGATCTCCTACAGGGCTTCTCAGAGCCTTGGTTTTCTAACCTGTGAAATGGAGATCATAATACTCCTTGCATCCTGGCATTCTGGAGATTACCGCAGGTCATTTCTTGGTCATATGATCTCAACAAATGTTAACTGTTGTGATTTTCATGAGCTGTATCACCTGATTTTCTTTACACTCTGATTTCAGGATTGCCCAGACACAGAAATTACTTGGTAGCTTTGGAGAATCTTGAAATTTACTATACGTGTAGTGAAGTACAGGAAACCCATTAACATGATATTTGTTTTGGTACTGGGAATTAAACCCAGGAGTGCTTCTCTGGTCCTTTATTTTATATTTTATTTTTTTGGTGCTGGGGATTGAACCCAGGGCCTTGTGCATGCAAGGTAGGCACTCTACCAACTGAGCTATATCCCCAGCCCACCCTGGTCTTTTTTTAATTTTTAATTTTGAGAGAGTCTTGCTAAGTTGCTGAGGGTCTCTCTAAATTGCTGAGGCTGGCCTTAGACATGAGATCCTCCTCTCAGACTCCTGAGTCACTGGGATCACAGGGATGTGTCACCACACCTGGCTCCCATGTTTTTTTGTTTTTTTTTTTTAATATTTATATTGTTAGTTTTGGGTGGACACAATATCTATTTTATTTTTATGTGGTGCTGAGAATGGAGCTTAGTGCCTCATGCATGCTAGGTGAGCACTCCACCATTGAGCCACAACCCTAGCCCTCCCATGGTTTTAAAACAATTAAAAAGCAAATATCTGAAATAATTATAATCCCATTTAAATACAGCATAGAAGCTGACAAAACCAATCCATGACTTTAGAAGGTAGTTGTTGCCCTTGGGAAGGGGTAATAGTGGCAGTAGGAGGATCTGGGATGTTGGGCATATTTTCTTTCTTGGTCAGAGTGCTGGTTACATGGAGTGTTTGGTTTAAGAAAATCTATTGACTTGTGTACCTTTTGGCTTATACATAGTGCAATAGAATGATTGAAAAACCAAACTCCCTCTAACCATCCTTGTCAAGAAGTGTAATATTTTCAGATGCCTTGGGGTCCTGCCTTGGTCCTACCTGCTCCTCCAGGTGGAGTAAACCACTCTCTGATCTTTTCTGGACATATTTCCTTATCTTTCTATTTCTGTGTAGTAGTTTCACTGGTAGAAACCTTTTTATCACTCTCCTGTTCTACAGACTTTTTATCACTCTCCTATTCTACAGACTTTTTTTTTTTTTTTCAGTGCTGGGGATTGAACCTAGTGCATGCTAGCAAGCACTCTACCACTGACTGAGCTGCACCCCCAGCCCCAGTCTTGGATTTTAAAATTATGCAATGAAGTCTTCCGTTCTGTGTTCTTTGGTGTCTGACTTCCTTGTTTGAGGGTCATCTCTGTGGCCAAACATAGCTGTTGTCCTTTCTTTTTCGCTGTTGTGTGGTACTTCACTAAGTGACACCGTATATTCATAATGCCACCATCAAGGGTTGAAGCTCTTTCTTCCTTTTTTTTTTTTAACTTTTTTTTTTAGTTGTTGATGGACCTTTTATTTATTATTTATTTATTTTTGGTGCTGAGAATTAAGCCCAGCGACACACATATAGGCGAGCACTCTACCACTGAACTACACTCCAGCCCTGCCATGTATATTCTTATATCTGTCTCCTCCTGGTGTGTACAGCAAACACCCGCTCACCCATTCCTAGATACATTGTTGCTCAGTTAACATTTCTAAAGTGGGGCTACAACTTAACAACCAGCCGCTTATGACAGTTTAATTGGCTGCTTGTTTTCCTTCTTAGTAATAAGTGAGATGATGATATGTGCTGGGTGGGGACATTTGCAGTTTCTTGGACACTGGGTTTCAATAATCTTATGGTTAAAATTTCAGGATTTTCCTCAGGCAGAGAGTTATTTCCAACCTATGTGATGCTTTTTCTCTGCTGAAGAATAGATTAATTTAGATACAATTCATAAACGAGACATTTTACTTATTTAAAGTATACAAATTTAATGGTTTTTACATTCTCTATTCACAGGGCTGTACAGCCACCACCACAGTCAATTTCAAACCCTTTTTATCACTCTCCAAGGAAACCTCATGCCCATCAGCAGTCACTACTTCTTTTCTCCCAGCTCCTGGCAACCACTAATCTACTTTCTGTTTCTGAATTTGCCTGCTCTAGACATTTGTAGAAATGGAATCATTATGTGGTACTTTTTGCTACATAGACACATTGCCTACTGTGGGCTAATGGCACCCAGAGCCCTGCGTCTTGGCCAGTGGGTAGTGCCTGTTCAAAAGAGTGAAACAGCTCCCTTTTCCTGTGGGCTGGTGGAGGGAGCCTTAAGGTCAGGAAGCCTTGTCTGCTCTCTAGCCCCACAGGGCTCAGGCCACTGAAAGACACTGGCTAGGCAGGGTCCTCCTTGGCAAGATGTGACCTAGGGGTCTGTGCCTGAGTCCTGCATGCCACCCATAAAACACCTAATCCTGATTGAGTCTTTTTCTCCACTCTAAGCTTCAGTTGTTTTAAAAGGAAAATGAGTGAAATTATACTAAATCTTTTTTGTTTGGGTACTGGGTAACTACTGAGCCATATCCCCAGCACTTTTTATGTTTTGTTTTGTGACAGGGTCTTGCTAGGTTGCTTAGGGCCTCACTGAGTTGCTGATGCTGGCCTCAAATGCAGTCCTCCTGCCTCAGCCTCCTGAACTGCTGGGATTACAGGCGTGCCCTGCCGTACTTGGCCCAAATCTTTTCTAATCCAAAATAGCATGGATTGTTAGGTGTACTATTATCACCACGAGAAAGAAGTTGCTGGTGAAACTGGCACACCATCAATTATGAGGTAGATCTTCATTTTAGAGGTATTAAAATGTGAAAAAGAAAATGTCTACTTGGAACCCCCCCTTTTTTTTGTACCAGAGGATTGAACCCAGGGGTGTTTAACCTACATCCCCAGCCCTTATTGAGACAGGGACTTCCTAAGTCTTTTAGGGCCTCCCTAAACTGCAGAATCTGGTCTTGTGATCCTCCTGCTTCAGTTCTCTGAGCTGCTGGGATTATAGCCACTAAGCCCGCCCTGCAAGGAACCATTGGTCTTGTTGTGTGTTTTTGTTTTTGCAGTGCTGGGAATGAACCCAGAGCTTTAATTGCCTTACCACTGACCCACACCCCCAGCCCTTGGGATCATTGATCTTATCTTCCACCTCACCTGACAAGTCAGGATCAGAAAAAGAAGTTTAGGTATTACAATGCTTCATGGCAGAGTCTGCCAGTGGCTCCATGTGTTTTTGTTTTGTTTTGGCTCTGGTGATAGAACTCAGGCCCGGAGCATACTAAGTGTGCTCTCTGCCGCTGAGTTACACCCCCAGCCCGGCTTCATGTTTAGTGGTGGTGAGAGGAGAGAGGAGGACCAGTAGTAATGGTAATAATAAATAAATAATAAATATAAAAGATGACATGGGTTGAGGAGATCCTCTGGCCAATCACCAGTTGAAGGCCTTTATGTGATTTTTCTCATTGAGTCTGCACAGTGATCCAAGGATGTTGGTGATGCCACCAATAAAATGTCAGTTCCACAAGAGCAGAGACTTCAATTTGTCCCCTGTGGTACTCCCAGTGCTTGGAACAAAACCTGAACTGTCCCAAGTACACAGTATTTTCCCGAATTAATAGATGAAGAAAACAAGGCACTGAGCATTGTTGACTTGCCCAAAGTCCCTTAGTCAAGCAGGAAATGGCAGAGCTGAGACTTGAACCCAGAAGGCAAAGCTTATGCTGGTCCTTTTCATGCCTCTTTCTGAGGCAGGGATGCTTCTGTGACGGGTAGGGTCTTGCTGAAACTTGTGGGCTAGCTCTGTGACCCTTCCCCCTGGGCCTGGGGAGGGGAAGGGAAGAGAACCCCTCATCCCAGGTCTTGCAAATTAGTCATTGACCAAGTGCCTGCAATGCTGTGGCAGCTTGAGGGCAGGGCAGAGCTGTGAGGAGAAGGTGGAGAGCTTGGGAGCTCTGTTCCTGGTTAGCTTTGTGCCCTGGGGTGGGTTGCCCAACCTCTCCAGCCTAGGTTTTGTTTCCTCCTTGGCAGGTGGGGGAATCTCAATAGTGTTTAAGTCGGGTGGTGAGGGGACAGTTTCCTTCCTTGGTGTGTGCACTCAGTGGGAGGCCTGGCAGGTGATGCGCTCTGAATCTCAGGGAGCCACTGCCGTTGGGGTTCTGCTGCTGCTCTTCCCTCAAGAGAATCACGAGAATAACAAGCTCTGTTCAACTCCCCAGCCACCTCTGAGTGGATCCAGTTCTTTAAGGAAGCTGGCATTCCTCCAGGACCTGCTGTTAATTATGCTGTGATGTTTGTGGATAATAGGTGAGGTGACTTGAGGGGACAGGGCTGATCTTGGGTGGGGGGAGGCAGGGAGCTGGCTGGCGCACTTTGGGCCTCACTGCTGACCCTCCTCTGCAGGATCCAAAAGAGCATGCTGTTAGATCTCAACAAGGAAATCATGAATGAGCTGGGCGTGACTGTGGTGGGTGACATCATTGCCATCCTAAAGCATGCCAAGGTGGTACACCGCCAGGTGGGTGCTCTGCCTGGCCCTCTGGGTTTAGCATGGAGGGCAGTTGCAGATCTAGCAGGAGACCTGGCAGCACAGCAGGGGGACTTGGGTTCTGAAGCTGATTCAGCCATTTGCTCTGTGACATTAACTTATGGCCTAACCTCTCTGTGTCTTATGTTCTCTGCCTATAAAGAGCAGAGAGGTAAACCTATCTTGAAGTGTGGCTGTGTTAGGCTAGCACAGTGTACTCTGCCTGAAGCAGAGCCTCAGTAAAGGTTCTAACTTTTATCATTATTGTGAATTCGTACCTTCCCCATAATCATCATTTATTTCTAGAACTTTATCTGTCCCCAGGACAGCAGGGTTTTGTTTTGTTTTGCTTTGATTTTGCAGTGCTGGGGTGGAACCAAGGGCCTTGTGCATACCAGGCAAGCGCTGTACCACTGAGCTACACCCGAATCCCAACCCTGACACTTTTTTTGGGGGGGGGGAGATTGAACACAGGGTCTTGTGCAAGGCAAGCACTCTGCCACTGAGCTGCATCCGCAGCCCTCTTCTGGATGTTTTAAAGAGTACTGGTCAGATACTTTGTGGGATGTCCCTCGGTTTGGGTGTGCATGGTGCATTTTCCTGGTCACGAATGAAATGTTTGAACATCCCTTCTCTGGCAGTCAGGTTCTGATCCTTCTCCATGTTGCTCGGATCTCTGTCCCTGGTTCTGTTGTGTTAACCCAGGTGCCTGTTTTTTACAGGACATGTGTAAAGCTGCCACTGAGTCAGTGCCCTGCAGCCCCAGCCCGCTCCCAGGAGAACTTCGCCGTGGTGCCTCTAGTGGTGAGTCTCATTTATTCAGGCCTCTTTTGCTCTTCACACTCTGTCAGCAAAGAGGACACACCTGGTTATCCATCGCATCACTTCTGAATTTTGCAGTGGTGGAAGCAAAGCCGTCTCGAACCCTCTTTTCTTTTTTGCACGACTGGGGATCTAGTCCAGGAGCCCTCTGCCATTGAGCTACACCTGCAGCCCCTTTTATTATTTTGAGACAGGATCTTGCTAAGTTGCCCAGACTGGCCTCCTCCCTCAGCTTCCCAAGTTGCTGGGATTATAGGCATGGGCCACAGTGCCCAGCCATCTGCAGCCCTCTTTAAGGGAGAGAAATAAACTGGGAAGTGAGTGGCTGTTCTTATAGTGTGTTCTTATTCACTGTGGACATGTTCCAGGGTGCCCAAAAGCAATCTAAGAGGTAGAAGCAAAGCCATCTCAGGCCCTCTTTTCTTTTTTGCAGGACTGGGGAATCTAGTCCAGGGGGCCCTCTGCCATTGAGCTACACCTCCAGCCCTTTTTATTGTTTTGAGACAGAGTTAGGCCCCAGATGTGTGTAAAGCACATCTTTAGTCTCTGCTTGCATAATATTTGCTCTTCCCAACTGGCCAGCATAAGCACCTTGTGCTAAGGCCAGAATCACTGTAGGCAGCGCCAACTCAAAGGCATGAATTCAGGGAAGCTGAACAAATCGGTGATTATTTTTACAATAGTCCCACAACATATATGCAGAAAAAGGTTTGATCATAATGGTACAGTTTACAGCTGAATGACTTATGTGTAGGACACCCGTGTTGCCAGCATCCAAATGCAGAAACACAAACATGACCAGCCTCCTAGAATCCCCCTTGAGGTCCTCTCAGTCACTTCCCCTCTCTGGGGCATCACTGCCTTGATTTCTAATAGCATAGAGTAGTTTTGCCAGTCTTTCAAGTCTTTAATGAGGACATTTTTTATACCTTTCTGAAAATTGTTAATAGTTTAAGTTTAGCCAGGTGTGGTGGTGCATCACCTGTAATCCCAGCTACTTGGAAAGTTGAGGCAGTAGGATACTAAGTTCAAAGCCTGCCTGGGCAACCTAGTGAGACTGTGTCTCAAAAATAAAAAGTGGGGCTGGGGTTATGGCTCAGTGGTAGAGCGCTTGCCTAGCATGTGTGAGGCACTGGATTCGATTCTCAGCACCACATATAAATAAATAAAGTCCATTGACAACTAAAAAAATATTTTAAAAATAAAATAAAATAAAACAAAAAATGGCTGACGGTGGAGCTCAGTGGTAGAGTACTTGCCTGGCAAGTGCAAGGCCCTAGGTTCAAGTCCCTAGTACTACCAAAACAAAGTTTAAAAAATGAGAACACATATACTGAAGAACTAGTGAAGAAAGTAGGCAATTAAGAAGAGAAGGGGTAACAGGCAAAGAAAGAAAGAAAAGGGTGTGGAAGAGCTCTCCAAGCAGCATTCCCACTAAGATCACTTGTATGCATTTCCTAGCATCCGTCACGTGTGTCTCTCTGGTGCAGGAGGGAGGACAGTTCATTGTTCCCTGACATCCTGACTCAACTCAATTTCAATGGAAAACCAGGCAGGCTGGAGCATGCCTGTAGTCCAGCAACTTGGGAGGCTGCAGCAGGAAGATTGCTCTAGCCCAGCAGTTCAAGGCCAGCCTGGGAAACATAACGAGAGACCGTCTCAAAACGAAAATAAAGCAAAAATTCAGTGGAGCCAAGACAGAGTGTTTCACCTCCACCCAAACAGTGCTTAACTGTCATGATGATAAAGCAGCAGGTCCCTGGCCTCTGTCGGCAATATACTTCCCTCTGTGTCAATACAAGAAGTGTGGCCGTCTTAGCTGCCTTCCTTTTATTGTAGAAGTTCCTGATCATGGGGCACCTGGCCAGGTACAATGCTGTGAGTGGAGGCTCTCCTGGGGCAGATTCTACACAGCCCAAGAGTTTGTAGCTGCTGGTCATAACGCCACCCCATCCAGCTGAAGGAAGAGCTGGAGAGATGTCTCTGGGAAATTGACCCTGGGTATATACCAGAGCCTTAGCAGAGAAGAGACCAGGGCTGGAACCAGGCATTTCTCTCCATAGAGGAAGGCGGTCTGATAGGACCAGGACATTGGTGTGTGCATGTGTGGTACTAGGGATTGAACCCAGGGTTTCTCTACCACTGAGCTACATTCCCAGCCCTTTTTACTTTTTTATTTTAAGACAGGGTCTCACTAAGTTGCTCAGGCTGACCTCAAGCTTGCAATTCTCCTGCCTCGTCCTCTTAGTTGCTGGGATTATAGGTGTGCACCACCATGCCCAGCTCTAGTCCTAGGACTTTGAGGAACTAATATTGCTCTGCCTCCAGACTTGGGTGCTGGGTATGTGAGGATCATCTTTTGTTAAATGGTCTGGGTAGGTTTAATTTAGTTTTCTATATGTTATAGTTATTATTTTAAAAAAAAAAGAAAGCAATAGGTAATTATAGCAGTGCATTGAGGGTCATTATGGGAGAGAAAGTTCCTACAGGAAAAGAAGATGACTTTGGGAGGGTAGTGAGACAAAATACTGAAGTCTGGGAATGGGGATGTAGCTCAGAGGTAAAGTGCTTGCCTAGCAAGCACGAGGCCCTGGGTCCATCCCTAGCACCTGGACAACATCAACACACAATCTGAAAGCTAGTTGGCAGAAAGTAGGGGTTGAGGTGAGGCTTCTGGGACTAGTCAGAAAGTAATGGCAGCATGAAGACTTTCCCCCTTCCCTCCCCTGCAGCGGCTCCCCAAGAGCTCTTGAAACCCATGCCCTAGAGCTAGCAGCAACAAACCCCAGGCAAGACCATCTTCTTCATTCTGGGGCCGGCCCTCCCGTTGGCATGCTGTAGCTCCCACCCTCGCACCCCAGGCATCCCCGCTTCTGCTTCACAGGCGACAGACTACCAGAGACTGCCCACCCATCACCAGAGGGAGGCCACCTCTTTCTTGCCCCAGCACAACTAGAGCCAACCCCATTGCTCAGAGCCTGGCTGAGTGACTCCCCTCCCTGAGTCCCGATCCTTCATCTGTAGAATTGGTTCGAAGGGGTTCCTTTCTAGTGGGCATGTTGGTGTTTTCAGCGACGGGTTCATCTCTTCAGTAGACTTCACTGTGGACGTATGAAGGGTAGAAACCACTTTAGGTACTGGGGACCCTGCGGTTAGCAGACCATGTCTCCTCACAGACTCTTGGTTTTGTGTGGGAGTTCACCAGTAAACAGATATAACTGACTGTCAAGCAGAGTTGAGGGCTACAAGAACAAGAAAGCATAGTGTGGGTCAGGGCGATAGAGGTGAGGGGTGCTGACCCAGAGTTGCCACTGAGAGGAGTCCTGAGTGAAGAGAAAGCCAGCCTGTCGGTCCTTGGGGAGCAGCATTCTAGCCAGAAGGAACAGAGAGTGCCCAGGAGGCTCCCGCTTGCCAGGTGAGGAAGTTCCTGGAGACTGGCACGGCTGAGGAGCGTGGGGAGGGGAGGAGTGAGCTCAGCCCAGGGCTGGGCACCTGATGGGCGAGGTGTGGTAGAAACGAGTCTGGTCCGGGGCACTGGGAGGGGTGAGCTTCACAGGGAAGGTGAAGCCCTCCTCCAAGCATCCCTATTATGAGGAGAGTGCGGCCACAGGGTGACACGGGCTGCCCCTTCCTTGTGCTGTCCAGTGCCAGCCTTCGCCACTCTGGCTCTGAGGCTGCTGGATTCAGGCCTTCCTCCCAGGGCCCCGCCTGACTGGACCCCCCTCTTTTCTCCCCTCAGCTGCCTCCCGAATGATCGCCAACAGCTTGAACCGAGACTCCCCACCCAGCACTCCCGCCAGACGGTCAGACACCAGCACTTCCAAGATCTCTGTCACTGTGTCCAACAAGATGGCAGCAAAAAGTGCCAAGGCTGCTGGTGAGGGACTTGGGCAGGTGGTGGGCAGAGCTGGAGGTGAATATGTGTTGACAGACGGTATTTGGGGGGGGTCATATCCCCAATATTGCAAGGTTCTTTGAAGGCTACAGGGGCTACAAAACCTTTGAACTTGTCACCTCTGTGAACTTGGTCAAGTCACCACACCTCTGTAGGGCTCACTTCACGTCTCCAACTGGGAGGATGGTGGGCAGTGCTCAATGGCATGTTGGCGCAGGTGTGCATTGCTCTTGTCACTCAGTGGCTCAGTCTTTTTTAGCAGCCATTCACTGAGCCCCACTAGTGCTGGACCCTGTGCTTAGTGCCTGGGTCAAAGGTAAAGAACCTACTGCCTCCTTCCAGCTGTCAGTCTGAGCCTGTAACCCTGTGTCTGTAACCCTCTGGGCTTCCCATTTCTGAAAATGAAGCCCACCCTTGTCCCATGGTCTCCTAGGGCCCTGCGTGGGTTGGACTCATCTCTTGCATCTCCTCTGCATGCTCTGGCTCAGTGCCTCTCCGGCCTCCTTCTAACAGTGGACCTCTGCCCCTCACATTCTGTGGGCATCCTCCTCAGGCTTCTCCACGATTGCCCTGTGTTCCTCTTCCCAGTCTCACCTTGAGAGCTGGGAGTGGGACTCGAACCTTTGGACACCAAGATCTACCCTACTCCTGTGCCTTGGTTGGCCCTGGCCCCACAGTGTGGTGTCATAGGCACTGTGGAAGCTGAGGCCCAGGGGGGACTGCGGGTTTCCCAGGCCAGTTCCATCGTACTCTTCCCACCTCTATCACATGGGCTCCCCTTTGCCTGGTTTTTTTGGAAGCCTCGCCCCCTTTTGGCCTTGATTTGTGTGCCACAAATAAGAAGGCTACCATTAGTTTATAAGGTGTTGAAATAATGGTGACTGGCTCTTTCACCTCTTGACACATTGAGGAATTCTTTTTTTTTTTAATTGAAGTGTAATTTAGTTATGCACAATGCCTAAGTGATACATATACAGCTTTATTAGTTGTCATAAAATGAGCATTAAAAAAGGGGGGGGGGGAAGCACAGTTGTGAAAGTGTAGACCCTTCCCTTCACCCAGAAGGATCCCCATCTGAGGGCTTTTGGGCTGGATTTGGGTGAATCACAGAGAGCCTGGGTGCCCCCGACGTCTGGAGATCCCGAGTGCCTTCTGTGACCTTGTGACACCCAGACCTTTGAGTTCCTCAGGGCTCAGTTGGTGGTGATGGGGCCAATAAGGGGTCCAGTCATGCAAATATGGAAATAAAGAACATATGTGCCCTTTGCCTAAAGTCTAACCCTAACCCTCCCCTAGCAGCCCTAGCCCGCAGGGAGGAGGAAAGCCTGATTGTTCCCACCAAGCGTCGCCGCGTCACTGCTGAGATGGAGGGGAAATACATCATCAACATGCCCAAGGGTACCACCCCCCGGACCCGCAAGATCCTGGAGCAGCAGCAGGCAGCAAAAGGTACTGGCCTGTGTGTCCTGGAGACTGTGGGTCTCCTGGCTACGTCGCACAACACCCATCATGGCCTGAAGGTGGGGGCTGAGAAGTAGACTAATGGACTTAGGGGACCTTGGGCCAAGGAGATGCAACAGTGGCCATAGAGGAGGGGAACACATCACCTGTGTCCTGTCGTCCTGCAGTTAGTGTAGCCAGGCTCCTGAGGGGCAGGGGCAAGGAGTCAGTGATGGCTGCCTGTGAAGTGAATGACCCTGCCTGAGTGAGGGCAGGTGCCCCAAAGTGAGCATTGTCATTGAGAGCCAGGGAAGTTAGACTGAGAGTCCGTGCAAGCGGGGGCTGGTAGCATGGAGATGTACTTTGTTATGGTAGCATTGTTTTAGGATGTTGTGTTTGAGGCCAGGTACAATGGCACACTCCTGTGATCCCAGTGACTTGGGAGGCTGAGGCAGGAAGATCACAAGTTCAAAGCCATCTTAGTAATATAGTGAGGCCCTAAGAAACCTAGCAAGACCCTGTCTCAAAATTTACAAAAAGGACTGGGGATGTGGCTATGTGGCTCAATGGTTAAGTGCCCTTGGGTTCAATTCCCAGTACCAAAAGAATAGAAGAATGTTACGTTTGTTCTTACAGAAAAACTTTCAGATGGGGCAGAATCATACAGTAAAAAGACTTTCCCATCATTTCTGTATCCCATGGTTGCTGTTAACCTGTTTAGGGTAACATCTGTGAACTTGTGTGTATCTGCTCACATATGGACATTTTTTTCTTTTTAAACACAAATAGCATCATCTTACTTTTTCATTTATTTGTTTATTTTTGGTATTGGGGATTGAACCCAGAGCCTCAAGCATGCTTGCCAAGTGCTCTACTACTGAGCCACATCTCCAGCCCTTTTAGAAATTTTATGTTGGGGGCTGGGGTTTTAGCTTGGTGGTAGAGCACTTGCCTAGCACGTATGAGGCACTGGATTTAATCCTCAGCACCACATAAAAATAAAATGAATAAAAATAAAGGTTTTCTGTCCATCTACAACTAAAAATGTGTTTAAAAATAAATTTATGTTGAGATGGTGTCACTAAGATGTCGAGATTGGTCTTGAACCTGTGATTCTCCTGTCTCAGCTTCCTGAGTCTCTGGGATTACAGGTGTGTACACTGTGCCTGGTTCCTCATCATTATTGTTTTTTTAAAATTTGTTCTAATTAGTTATACTCTTCATTCGGTTTTAATGGCCATTTATTTCCATGGTATTTGTGAACCATGATTTGGTAAACATTCCGTTGGTGGAGATTTAGGTTATTATTTGCTGAGAGAACTCATTACCATTCATCAGAGTCTCCTAGGACCCATGATCCCCAAAGAGAAAGGAATAAATAGGAGTTAAGGACTCTCCCTACACACATTTCATGAATTTGTACTAAGGAGTAAGGAGTCTAGGGTGTCAGGGTGTCAGCTTGCGATTATCTTTCCCACACTGACTCTAGCCGGTGTGAGGGTGAGGGTCAACAGTGGCCAATAGTGCGGGTGTACAGCTCACTTGGCTGTAGTGGAGCTGACTAGAGTCTGCTGGCCTTGTCGTCCCTGCCTCAGGGTCTGCATTGCTCAGCCTGGGCCTGGGCCTGCAGGGCTGCTGGGCAGGTGCTGTCTCATGGCCTCTCTTCCCTCACAGGTGTCCACAGAAAGTCCGTGTTTGACCGCCTGGGTGCTGAGACCAAGGCAGACACGACGACGGGGAATAAAGTGAGTTGGCAAAGGTGGAGCCTCGTGGGGCTTGAAAGCTCTTGTCTTCCTGGATGTTGTTCCTAATGCTCCTGCATCTCGCCCCTTATGGGCCCCAGCACGGGCTCCCCACCTTCCCAGGCTGCTCCCTTCTTTGCTTGGGTGGCTTTCCCCTTTGTCTTCTGCCCCCGTGTCTGTCTGTAGTCTGTCTATCTGTCTGTCTGTCTGTCTCTCTCTCCCTTTCCAGCTCCAGTCCTAATCTGTCCTGATTTCTGCCGGTCGTTTCCTGTTCTCACCAACCCAAACTGTCCTCAGCATCTTCCCCCAAAGTCACTCCTCTTCTAGGACCCCTTCTTAGGGATGTCCCCCTCCTCCATTCCAGTTAGTCCTTGAATTGGGTAACTGTCTTTCTCTACCTCTGCTGCCACTTCTTCCTGCCTGGATGGGGTGACAGCCACCTAACTGGTTTCACACAGCTGCCGTTAACCCCCTCCAGCCCCTGCCTCCCCAACTGCAGGGTGTGCTGCCCACAGGATGGGCTGGCTTCCTCCTCTGCTGGAAACCCCTCTGAGGCTTTTCCCTGTCCCTGTGACGAAGCCCACTGTCTTGTAGTGGGCTGCAATTCCCTGGGACCCAGGCATGGAGTATGTTTTGGAGCATACCCTGGATTGCGCTGTGGCTGGCCACGTCACCTTGGCCATTCACTTAGGCCCTTTGTGCCTCAGGTTCTCATCTATACAGTACCAGCTCAAAGGGTGGTCATGAGGCATGAGTCAGATAATCCCTGCATGGTGCAAGGGCATGGGTGTGTAATGAGCCGATGTCACCTTTGCCGATCTGTGGGTCCTTGGCTCTTTCTGCTTCCTCACTCCCTTGCTCACCAGGTGCCACTGCTCTGGCTGTCTCTCACCTCCTCTTACCACTGGGATGATAATCACTCTTAGGGTCATGTGGCTGAGGGATCCAGCCAGGTGGAGGCATCCCTGTGCTCATCCATCCTGCAGGGTGCCTGGCTGTGGAGCTGGAGTTTGGAGTCCTTCTGAACTCTAAGCAGGGTTGAGCTGCCCCTAGCTCCTCCCCTCCCGTGTTCTTCTGTTGTATAAATTATGGGTTTATTTGAGCCAGTAAGGCAGGGAAGCTGCTTTTCTGGGAACTCCTGGGTGAAATTTCCCAGTTTGAGAAAGCCTCAGGATCAAACACAGCCACCCGGAGGTGGGGAGATGGGCATAACCTGCCAAGCACCCAATAACCTGTTTACCTCAAGATCCCTGCCTTTGAATCCTTCCCCTTAAATAAAGGATTGGAGCCTTTTTCAGTTGTTCAATTCCAGTTCCTAGCTGGGCTGGAAGACCCATCAAGCACCCACTTTTAAATCTGATTTCTGGCTGGCTTTGTCTTTCTTTCTTTTTTTTTTAATTGTAGTTGAACACAATATCTTTATTTTATTTACTTTTATGTGGTGCTGAGGATGGAACCCAGTGCCTCACATGGGCTAGGTGAGCACAATCCCAGCCCCTGTCTTTATTTCTTACTGATTATTTCAGACTTTTATTTTCCCAGGTGGCTCACACCTCCGAGCGGGAATCTGCGCTACTGGGGTGCTGGTAACCCTGGCATACTCTTCCTCACAGAACACCTCACTGTCATACTTGCAGTTATTTATTTATTTATTTTTAATATTTATTTTTTTAGGTGTAGGTGGACACAACACAATGCCTTTATTTTTATGTGGTGCTGAGGATCGAACCCGGGTTCCGCCCATGCTAGGCGAGCAATCTACCGCTGAGCCACAATCCCAGCCTCATACTTGCAGTTATTGCTGTCATACTTTGGAGCCAAGCCTGTCTTCCCCACTGGACTGTGAGCCCCTTGAGAGCAGGTCTGGAACTGCTCTGTATCCCCAGCATTGCTTGGTCTAGGGCCAGGCCCCAGAGTTGGGGCTCAAGATATATTTGCTGAATAAATGACCGAGTGACTTTTCCCCATGCTCATCTGTAGACCCCGCCCGTGTCGTCCCTCTGTGCGGCACACCCTGTTCCTTCCCTGCTTTATTGGACCCTTTCTTTTACCATTCAGATCTCAGACCAGCTGTGTCCTCGTCCAGGGAGCCTTCCTGAACTTCCAGGCAAGGTCTGGTGCTTTCTCTGGGCTTCCTACTTCCTGTCATCTCCACCCCATGCTGTCACCACCATCTGACTGATGGGTGTTTCTTCCAGCATTGAGTTCCAGGAAGGCAGTGTGTTGAGTGACTACATGACTCACTGTCCTATCTCTGATGTCCACAGCCCACGGGAGTTTTCAGTCGCCTCGGGGCCACTCCAGAGATGGATGAGGATTTGGCATGGGACAGCGACAACGACAGCAGCAGCTCTGTCCTGCAGTATGCTGGGGTCCTGAAGAAGCTAGGACGGGGCCCAGCCAAGGCCAGTCCCCAGCCAGCACTGACTGTCAAAGCCAAGGCCACAAGCTCAATGACAACGATGGCTGCCCCAACACTGCGGCGCCTGACGCTTTCCTCACGCCCTGGGCTGGAGAGGAAGCCGGAGTCCCTGTCCAAAGTCAGCATCATCCAGAGACTGGGCAAGGCCACCCTTGTGCCTGAGGCCCAGGACAGCCAGGTCACAAGCACCAAGAGTAAGTCCTCGGCTGAGGTCAAGGTCACCATTAAGAGGACTCTGGTGGGGCCCCGGGGGAGCAGCTCCACTGAGGGCCTTGGTGCCCAGATGGACCATGCAGGCACTGTGAGCGTGTTCAAAAGACTGGGCCGCAGGACCTTCTAGCCCACATGCGGGGCGGGGTGCAGATGGCAGAATTGCCGGCCTGTGTCCGGCCCCTCTTCAGGCTCCTGGTCCCTTCAGAGCCTTCCTCGAGGGCCTGTCCGCCCACCTGCCAGCTCCTGGTGACACTGCTTGTCTCCCTCAGGCACTCACACTGGGCCTGAGCACTCTGAGGAATTGCCCATAGTTCCTGGTCTGGCTGGTCACTGGCCTGGCTTTGCCTGCTATGGGACTTCCCTTCTCTCCTGCCCTCTGTTCTCCGCTCTCTGGCCATGGCCTTGGCAGAATCCACTTTTCTACCTTTGCCAAGTGCCAAGTGCCATCATCTTTCCTGTGACCCCTTCCTCCCTCTCAGCAGCACTTGCTGCCTCAAACTCCAGCTCCTTAGCTCCCTGTTCCCCTGCCCACGCTCAAAGTGGGTGTCCCCTGGGGGTCTCCCTTCTCCTGGCACCCAGCCTTTCTCCCTCCTCTGCCCCTCCCCATTGCTGTAACTCCTCTCTTTCTTCCTCTTCACTCTGTTCATTTCTCTTCTGTTTTCTGTCCCCGTGGCAAGGCCCGACTGTCCGCTGCGTCCTGCCTGACCCTCCTGCACCTCCGGCCTCCCAGCGGCCCCCTCGTCGACGGTGGCGTCGAGCCTGTAGAGACTGTTAGCTGCCCTCCACGCCCAGGCTGGAGGGACTTCCCAGGCCTTGGGCTACTGCTGGGGCACCTCCATTTTCCTGCCCTGGGCATCTTTTTCTCTAAAAGTCTGTGGTGGGTGGTGGGCAAGGGGCATTGGGAAGGGAGGCCAGTTTTGAGAGAGAAGACAACAGCTGATTTAATATATTTTTGTGACTTCCAAACCGTTTCTCTCCCCTCCTTCAGGGTGAGCTAAGGGTGTTCACTGCAAGCCTAGTGTGGGGTAGGGGCGCCGGCCAAGGGTTGGGCTCCGTCACTGAAGGTCAAGCTCCTGTACACGTGTGGGCCTCAAGTAGAGGGAGTAATGGTCACAGTCACCATTCATTCCTCCCCCAACATGCTGCCACTATTCTGCCACTCTGCCCTTCCTCCACAATTCCACCTGTTTCTGCCACTCTGCCTGTTGGTGGCTCTTCAAACTGTGGGCTCCATTTGTGAGGAAATTAGTTTTTGTTGATTCAGTTGTTCACCCCCTCACTCTGCGCAGCCCCCACCTGTTCTAGCAGGTGGGCAGGGCTGGCCAGCATCCTGGCTGCATGGTCAGCCTCTGTAATGAGGGAGAAGGAGGCTACAGGATGGTGCTCTCCAAAAAATTGGAGGGATAAGAGAAAGAGGCCAGGGCCACTGTAGGTATATGGGATGAGAAAGCCTTTCAGAGGAGGTGACATGTTGACTGAACTGGGATACAAGAAGTGGCTTTGTGAAGTTCAGTAGGAACATTCTAGCACAGGGACAAGCAGGGGCAAAGGCCTTGAGGTGGGTCAAGGAACATGAAGAAGACCACGGGGCTGCCAGTGAGGGGCAGCTGTCTCCCATGAGATGGGGGCTGGTAGACAGGAAGCAGATGCTCTGGGGCTTTGGGACGCAGGGCGAGGAATGTGGATATGGGGCTGAGGGCTCTGAGTTTTGAAGGGTTTGAAGCAGGGGAGTGATGAACTGAGTTGCTGTGTATGACAGTCAGTGGCACTGGCTGCTGTGAGGAGAGTGCGTTGTTGGGAGGGCAGAGGTGGAGGCCACTGAGGTTTCCAGGCAGGGAACGAAAGTGACCTGCCTGATACTGTGGCAGTGGGGGAGCAGAGAAACCATGGATATAGGGTGTGTGCTTTGGAAGTACAGCAGCAGACGCTGATTGGAAGAAGAGAATCATCATCCCACCCAGATTTTACCCCCGAGCTGCTGGGGAATAGCCATTGGCAGAGACAGGGAGGCAGGAGAGAGAACAGGCTGGGGATCAGGGAGCTTTGTTCTGACCATGCTGAGAGTGAGGCACTGCTAGGGTTCCCAATGGGTAGGTTGCAGGCTAGAGCCAAAGCTGAAGGCCCGGTGATACCAGCTGGTAAGAGCAGAGAGATTGGGAGGTCCCTGGAGGAGAATTGGTGGACCTTTTCCTATTGAGAGGACAGGATCTGATAAAGGAGTCACCCAGGAGGGGGCAGGGGTTTGGAGGATATCTAAGAGAGCCAGTGATAATCAGACTAGACCTCATATCTTTATTTTACTTAATTTGTTTTCTTCTGTGGTATTGGGGATTGAACCTGTGGACTCAAACATGCAAGACAAGCACTTTACCACTGAGCTACACCCCCGGTCCTTGTCATTTCTTGATGTGTAATAGGAACTACAATGATAGAAAAACACACCTAGCTCACTTACCACAGAAGGCTTACCTGCACCACAGGTAAGTTCTGTCATTGTTGCTTTTCATAGAGGCTCACAGAGGGGAGTATATTGTTGAAGGCCTCAGCCAGCTGGCATGTGCCTGGATGGGTTGACCTCAGGGAGCTGACTCCAGGATCCTTACCTTGACCCTGTCTTGCCTCCATTCTGTATTTGAAACATGACCCTTTGGGGATGGGGGCAGGGTCCTAGGACAGTGGTTCCATTTATTTATTTATAATTTTTTTAGTTGAGGGTGGACATGATACGTTTATTTTATTTATTTATTTTTATGTGGTGCTGAGGATTGAATCCAGCGCCTCACACATGCAAGGCAAGCGCTCTACCACTAAGCCATAACCCCAGTCCTCCAACAGTGGTTTTAGACTACAGTTATCTATGTGAACATGTCCTCAACACCCCATCAACTTGTCCTAGGAAGGATTTGTAGCTCTAAGATGCCACAGCTCTAAGACACTGCCCTGTCCTGCCACTGTCCTCAGAATGACCAGAACTGATGCCTTCTCTAGCTCTCAACCTCTCCAGACTTACAATGTCCCATTCACTTGACTCAGAGATTCCTCCAAATTAACCCAAACAGCTGTGCCCCACAGGGCTGGATTATTCTTTTCTTGATTCTATTAAGCATTTTTGAACACAAATAATATACTCACATGGTTCAAGATGGAAAAGGAACAAGAATGAAGAGTCTTCCTATGTCTCCTAGCACCCTATCCCTTCCCCAGAGGCCACCAAGGTTACTAATTTTTTTGTGTGAACATTACAGAGTCGTATGTGACACACACACACAAATTTACATATACGATACATACATAAACCAGAGGAAAAGACGTACACACAAGCAAACACACATACATACTAACAGCCTCATTTGTTTAATTGGTTCCTTTTAGGAGGAAATCCATATTGTTTCCAATTTTTTGCTATCATTGGTAGTGCTATGATGAATGACACACATGTAGGATCAATTCTCAGGGGAATTTGAAGATCTCCAATGATATCATTTTTTCTTTTTTTTTTTTTTTTTTTTGTGGTACTGGTGCTTATACCCAGAGGCACTGTACCACTGAGCTCCATCCCCAAACCTTTTTATTTTTTACTTTGAGACAGGGTCTTGCTAGGTTGCCCAGGCTGGCCTTGAACTTGTAATCTTCCTGCCATAGTCTCTTAAACTGCTGGGATTATAGATGTGCACCACCAAGCCTGGCTTTTTTTGTTTGTTTGTTTTGTTATGTTTAAGATTTGGAGGATTGAACCAAAGGACTTGTGCGTGCCAGGAAAGTGCTTTATCCCTGAAGTACAAGGCCAACCCAATTTATCTGAGACCAGATCGGGTCATGTTAAATTGCCCTGGATGACCTTGAATTTACAATCCTTCTACCTTAGCCTCTGGAGTAGCTGGGATTACAAGCCCGAAACTCTGTGCCCTGCTCCAGCGATATCTTTAAAGTGCAAATACTGATGGTGGGTCAATAGCAAATTTGACCCAGGCTCTCCCCCAAGATTATTGGTATTCTTCAGCTGGCATATTTTTATAATGACCACCCCATTTCAAAAAGGAATGAAAGGGAGGTGGGACTATAGCTCAACCGCAGAGTGCTTGCCTAGCATGTGTGAAGCACTGGGTTCGAGCCTTAGCACCATATTAAAAAAATAAACAAAGGTATTCTGTCCATCCACAACTACAAAAAAAAAAAAAAAAGGAGGAGGAGGAGGAATGGAAAAGCAGGTCATAGTAGTGCACACCTGTAACCCAGCTACTTGGGAGCCTGAGGCAGGAAGATCTCAAGTTTAAGGCCAGCCTGGCAACTTAGTGGGACCCTGTCTCAAAATACAAAATCAAAAGGGCTGGGGATGGAGCTCAGTGGTAGAGCACCCCTGGGTTCAATCCCTAGTACTGCAAAAAAAAAAAAAAAAAAAAAATCAAGATAAAAGGAAATGAATAGAAGTTGGACTCTTCTAATTGGAGACTTGCTTGAGAAATTGGGTCAAGGGATACCAAGAGCCAACACTGACCACCACCTCTGCGCTAGGAAGTACTAAATAAGCATTTGGTTAAGTTGGTGGACTTGTTGAATCCCAGGGGCAGCACCATGCAGGGCCTTTCCGTTCTCATCAGGTGAGCAGGTGAGGAGACAAGTGCAGTGAGCCCAGGGCCAGGGTCAGATCTGAGACAGCACAGCAGAATGATTCTGTTTGGACGGTGGTCTTGGTCGCCTCTGGACCTGTCATCTCCTTTGGTGGCTCACATCAGTGGATACTAAAGGAAAACAGGAACTTGCAGAACCTGTGGCAGGCAGCCAGGGCACAGGCCACTCCCTATCCCTTCCTCCAGTGCCTGAGATGAGCCAAAAGTTGAGCTGCAGTGACCTTGTCCCTTGCTTTGGGATCCTGAGCTGACTTAGTTTGGTAAACACTGCTCCTACAGACTGATCTGCCTTGGAAGGTCTGAGAGTCCTGGAGAGGATGTATTTCCCTACCTTGAACTTCACTTGCTTTATGAACTCCAAACCAGAGCTTCACAGACTTGAGATAGCAAAACTTTTTTTCATCTTTTTCCCCATCCCTTCTTTCCTTTCTTTCATGTTTTTTTTTTTTTTTTTTTTAGTAATAGATGTTAGTGGGTTTTTAAAAATAGTTTTAGAGTTCTAGAAGAATTGAAATGGTAGTACAGAGAGTTGCCATATGCCCCGTCCCCAGTTTTCCCAGTTATTAACATAGTACCTTGACATGGTGTATTTGTTATAATTAATGTACCCATATGGATGCATTAGTATTAACTAAAATCCAAAGTTTATTCTGATGGCCTTAGTTTTTTTCTTTTATATATTCTAATTAGTTATACATGACAGTAGATGATATTCCAGAATCCCATTCAGGATACCATATTACATTTATGTTGTCAAATGTGACATTGTCATCAAATAAGAAGTTGCATGTCTCCTTAGGCTTCCCTTAGCAGTGGCAGTTCGTCAGATTTTATTTGGTTTGGGTGATGACCTTGATAGTTTTGAAAAGTGCTGGTCAGGTTTATTATAGGATGCCCCTTGACTGGAACTTATCTGATGTGTTTTCAAGATCAGACTGAGGTCAGGAGCTTTTCAGAAGACCTTAACCATCTAGTGCCACTTCACTATCATATCAAGCCTTCACACTCCAACCCAAGTTAGTATTGTTTATGTAAGTTGTGATTATATTTGTCAAGTTCCTCACTTTGTAAAGTTACTTTTCTTTTTCCCTTTACATCTTGTGCTTTTTTTCAAGGAAATCACTCAGTGCAGTCCACATTTAAGGAGCTGGGGGAGGTGTTGCACTCTCCTTTTTTTCCTAAAAATACCTTATTTTATTTATTTATTATTATGTGGTGCTGAGGATTGAACGCAGTGCCTCACATATGCCAGGCAAGCACTCTACCTCTGAGGCACAACTCCAGCCCTGCGCTGTCCTTTTTGAGGGCAAAGTACCTACGTAAATTATTTGGAATTCTACATGATCCGTCACTTCTGATTTATTAACTTATTCAAAAATTTATTTTATTTTATTATTATTATTTGGTACTGGGACACTTGACCACTCAGCCACATCCTCAGCTCTATTTTGTATTTTATTTAGAGACAGGAGCTCACTGAGTTACTTAGCACCTGGCTTTTGCTGAGGCTGGTTTTGAATTTGTAATCCTCCTGCCTCAGCCTCTGGAGCTGCTGGGATTACAGGTATGTGCCACTGTACCCAGCCAGTAATTTATTTTAATTTAAATTTTAATGAATTATTTTTTAACTGAGCTGGTGGTGCATACCCATAATCCTAGTGACTCTGGAGGCTGAGGCAGGAGGATGGTAAGCTTGAGGCCAGCCTCAGCAACGTAAAGAGATCCTTACCTCAAAATAAAAATTAAAGGGCTGGAGATGTAACTCTGTGATAAATCAATCCCCAATACCACACCCCCCCAAAAAAATCAACCAAGCATTGTTAATTAATTAAATTAAGTGGGGACACTGTACCACTGAACTACATTCCCAGCTTCTGTTTTGTTTGATTTTGAGGTAAGGTCTCGCCCAATTGTCAAGGCTGGCCTCAACTTGTTATCCTCCTCCCTGGCATCCCAAGTCTCTGGGATTATGGGCATATGCCACCATGCCTGGCTATATTTATTTATCCAGACTCATGGATATTTATTTTACTCTAAGTTATAAACCTATGTGACTTTTTTTCCTTCTTTCATTATTCTGGGTTTGGCCATCGGAGCTCTTTCAGTTGGCTATTGTGTCTCTTTGACTTGACGTACTTCTACCTGCTTTATTTTTTATTTTGAGACAGGGCCTCCCTAAGTTTCTGAATCTGTCCCTGAACTCCAACCCTCCTGCCTCAGCTTCCTGAGCCTCTGGGATTACAGGTGTGGGCCGCCATGCTTGGCTTTTGTTTTTCCAGCCCATCCTTACTTTCTGGCACTGCATGGTGCTCCAGTTCATCTTGTGTGTTTCCTGCCCTGGTCCTAGAGTTGGCCCTGTCTTCAAGGAGCCCAATTGCTTTTATTGCTGAACAGTATTAGAAACTAAGATATTTGGGCTGGGGGTGTTGCTCCGTAATAAAGTGCATGGTTAACATGCATGAGGCCCTGGGTTTTGTCCCCAGCACCAGAGAGAGAGAGAGAGAGAGAGACAAATGTCTAGTTGTGAAATATAGTTTTTGCTACTAGCATATCTTCTTTTTTTAAAAAATGAAATCTTAATATGGAACCCAAATATGTACCACATGTTTAAAACAGAAAAGCACTTATTCACATACATTGAAGTACTTATCTTGAATTAATTCATGCAAACAGTACACAATTCAAAGGTTCAAAAGGATACACAGTGCTGGATATAGTGGTGCACACCTGTAATCCCAGCAATTTAGGAGGCTGAGCAGGGGGATTGCAAGTTCAAGGCCAGTCTCAGCAACTTAATGAGACCCTGGGTTTTTTTTGTTTTTTTTTTTTTGAGAGAGAAAGAGAGAGAGAGAATTTTTTTTTTAATATTTATTTTTTAGTTTTCGGTGGACATAACATCTTTGTTTGTATGTGGTGCTAAGGATCGAACCCGGGCCGCACGCATGCCAGGCGAGCGCGCTACCGCTTGAGCCACATCTCCAGCCCCCTAATGAGACTCTGTTTAAAAAAAAAAAAAGCTGGGAATGTAACTAACTCAATGGTTGAACATCCTTGGGTTCAATCCCCAGTACTGAGGGGGGGAAAAAAGATACACAATAAGTCCATCCTGTGCTCAGTAGACTGGCAAAAATCTAAGTCTCAAGTGTCAGGGAAGATTTGGATAACGAGAGTATATATACTGCTGACGGGACATAACTTTGTGCCAACCACTTTGGAAATAATTTGATGGGCTGTGAAAAGTTGAGGTTGACATACTCTCCTTTCCAACCCAGCAATTTTTCTCCTAGGAATGTACCCTGGAAAAACTTCCACATACACACAAAGACATGTATAAAAGTATTTATAGAAGTACTATTTGTAGTAGCATAAACTTGCAAACAACCTAAATATCCATCAACTGGAGAAAGGACAGACTGTGACAGAGTCCAGTTGTCCAATGCCTAACGAATCACCTCAAATCTTAGTTGCCTAAATCAACAATCATTTTTAAAAAAATTTTTTATGGTGATGGGGGTTTACTGGGTTCAATTAGGCTGTTGTCACTTACTGTCTCTCAAGTGTTTGCAGAAAGATGTTAGCTGGGGCTGGTGTCCTCTTAAAGATTCTTCACATATTTGGTGATAACCAGTGCTAGTACTAAGCTGGGACCTCAGTGTGTGCCATTGACCAGAATGCCTATGCATGGCTTCTCCATATGGCCTGGGCTTCCTTATAACATGGCAGCTAGATTCCAAGAGGGAGCTTCTCAAGAACCAGAGGAAACTATTGTCTCTTCTAATGTGGCGTTGAAAGTTGCATTGCTCTACTTTTGCCACAGTGACTGGCCCACTCAAATTCACAGGAGGGATCATAGACTTTACCACTCAGTGAGAGGAGCATCAGTAATAAGAGCATGTGGGATGAGAAATTGCATTATGGCCATCTTGGAAAATTAGGCATCAATGTTGGATATATTATATACCGAATAGAATATTATACAGCAAAGAAAACAAACTAACATTGCACGTATCAATATGAATGAGTCGAAATATTACGTGAAAAAAACAATTGTAAAAGAATATGTATAGTTTAACATGCAGTATTGATTAGGGATACTTAAAGTATAGTAAATATATAAAATGCATGGGAAAGATAAACCCCAAATGTAGGACAGTAGTTCCCTCCAGGGGTAGCTGGCATGTGATTGGAGAGGGACACATGGAGATTGAACAACAGTATACATTTTGTGTGTGTGTCTGTGTTGCTGGATATTGAACTGGCTTCACTCATGCTGGGTAAGTGTTCTACTGTCGAGCTACATCCACAGCCCTTTTTATTTTTATTTTGAGACAAGAGTTTGCTAAGTTGCTGAGCCTGATCTTAAACTTATGATCCTTTGATTCAGGCTCCTGAATTCAGGTATTACCTCCAGTGCCCAACTAGTAATGACCTTTAAAGGCAGGTAGTGAGGGCTGGGCCTGGTGGCACACACATGTAATCCCAGAGACTTGGGTGAGTCAGGAGGATTGCAAGTTTGAGACCAGCAATTTAGTGAGACTCTCAGAATTTAGCGATACCCTGTCTCAAAATTAAAGAAAACAAAAAGGTCTAGGGGCTGGGGTTGTGGCTCAGCGGCAGAGCGCTCACCTAGCAAGTGCAAGGCCCTGGGTTCGATCCTCAGCACCACATAAAAAAATAAATAAATAAAATAAAGATATTTTATTTATTTTTTATTTTGAGATAAGAGTTTGCTAAGTTGCTGAGCCTGATCTTAAACTTATGGTCTAAAAAATAAATTAAAAAAGAAAAAGAAATAACTTTAAAAAAAAAAAAGGTCTAAGGATTTGGCTCAGTGGTTAAAGCACTCCTCAGTTCACACCCAGTACAATAAAAAAATACAGGCAGGTGGAGGGCACGTGGGTATACATTGTGTTATTCTTTATGCTTTTCTAAATCTCTCTTAATTAAAAACTAGCAATTCCCTCTCTTACTCTGGGTCCCTCATTTCTCCAGTTTCCCTCTCTAGAACCAATTTCTATTACTGGAGCTTTCTGTGTGTTCCAGAAATATCCTGTACCTATACAAACAGCTGTATTTTCCCACTCAGTTGCATAAATAATTGTTTGTGTTTTACTTTTTTTTCACTTAATATATTTTGGAGATCATAACAGTATGTAAAGAGCTTCCCTTTAAACACTATATTGACATATAATCTTCAAGCCAGACAATTCACCTATTTAAAGTGCACAATTCACTGGCTTTTAGTTATTCAGAGCTGGGCAGCCATCACCAATTTTAGGACATTTCATTATCCTCCCCCCAAAAATCCTACACCCACTAAACACCGTTCCCCAAGTCTTCCATCTTTGCCCCTCCCCCGCCCCTCAGCAATCATTAATCTGTTTTTCATCTCTATAGAGTTGCCTATTCTGGACATATATAAATGAATTGTACCATATATGGCCTTTTGTGCATGTTGTTTTTTTTTTCATGTAGCATGTTTTCAATGTTCATTCAGGTTTTAGCATGTATTCCTTTATATGGCTGAATAATATTCCATTGTATGGAATGTATATCACCATTTTTTTACCCATTCATCAGTTTGGGTTGTTACACTTTGGGGCTATTATGAACAATGCCCCTACTATAAGTATTCATGTGTGAGTTGTACTTTTTTCTTTTCTTGTGGTACTGGTGATTTAATCCAGGGGTGCTTTACCACTAAGCTATATCCTCGGCCTTTTTCCGTTTTTATTGTGAGACAGAGTCTCCCTAAGTTGCTGAGGCTGTCCTTGAACTTGTGATCTCCTGTTTCAGACTCCCAAGTTCCTGGATTCTAGGCATGTGCCATCCATCCTATCTTGGACCTTTTTTTTTTTTTTTTTTGGTACAGGGATTGAACCCAGGGTGCTTAGCCACTGAGCCACATCCCCAGACCTTTTTTATATTTTATTTAGAGATAGGGTCTGACTGAGTTGCTTAGGACCTCACTAAATTGCTGAAGCTGGCTTTGAACTTTCGATCCTCCTGCTTCGGCTTCCTAAACTTTGGGATTACAGATGTGTGCCACTGTGCCCAGCTCTATCTTGGATGTGTTTTCAATTTGAGTGTGTGTGTGTTGGGGGGGTGGTTTCTGGGGATGGAACCCAGAGTTTTGCTCATGATAGGTAAGTACTCTCCCACTGAATTACATTCCCAGCTCCTATTTTAATTCTTTTGGCCAGATATCAGGATTGGAATTCTTGGTTCATTGGTAATTCTGTTTTTAACCATTTGAGGGAATCTAGACCATTTTAACCTTTCTATCAGGAGTATATGAGGGTTCCAATTTCTCTACATTCTTGCCAATATTTATTATTACTTAAGTTTTTTTGTTTCGTTTTTGTGGTGCTGGGGATCCAACCCAGGTCTCAAGCATGTTAAGCACATGCTAACATGCTAAGTTCTATCCCTAGTGAACTTTTTTGGGGGATACTGGG